ATACAGGAACTACGCTAGAGTCAATTCATAATTAACTAATGTAAGTGATTGCTAGCACATACAGTGTATGTCATCTTTTACTCCTCCCCACAATCATTAGAACATTCCTGGGATCATATGTGTAAAGGAAATTTAGAAAGGATGTTCTAAAGTTAAAGTCAAATCAAGTTTCCACATTCTTCTTGCTGTAGTTTGGGTATGGCTTGAGTGTGTTCTCCACAGGTTCATGGCTGAAAGCCTGATACCTAGTGTAGTGGTAGAAGATGATGAGCCCCTAATGGGAGGTCTCTATGCTCACTGGAAACACCTTAAGAAGGGGTTGTTGGAGACGAACTCCTCTCTGATTTTTTGTGTCCAGCTATGATCTCCTCTTCTCATATATGTTCTTACATATGCCTTTCCACATAAGAATTTTTCCAAAGCCTGGGCAATGCTGGTGTCATACCCTTGAATCTCCAGAGTTGGAGATGCAATAAATCTTCTTAAAGAAATAGTTAGCCATCTTCCTCCCTCCTTTGTCTCTTACACATGTAAATTAACTTGGCTTTTTATTCTTTCCTTTATCTAAGTCTAAAATCCAGACTTAAGGGAAAATTCAAGACCATCATTTTCTCCAGTGTCTTAAAAGTCACCATATTAAAGGGTATTAGCTGGCTATTCCATGAAAAAGATTATGGCACTTTCTTTCTACCTACTTCATAGGCATTTCTTTTTCCCCTTAAGTTGCTTTAATCATGTCTCAATATGTTGTTTTGTGGCTCTCTCTTGTCTTTCTCTTGATTTTAGAACATAGCCACTATGAAGATGGAAGATGGGCTCTCATCTTGTTTGGTGATGGCTCCTCCCCTCTTTTATTGAGCAGAATCTTATATAGTTCAGGTTTGCCTCAAATTTATTATGTAGGTGTAGACAACTCTGAATTCCTGATCTTTTTGCCTTCACCTCCCAAGTGCTGGATTATAGGCTTATTATAGGCAAAATTTTCTTTACTTCTTCAAACATTCTTTTTAAAGTATCTGCATTTGAGTCAGCTAGTAAAATATCATCCATATAATGATAAAT